TATACAGTATACAACTGAGATACACTTCCATTGAAGTAATTAATTCAGAAATTATCTCATCTTACTCTTAGGTGTGTTCGTTGTGTGCAGCAGAGGATGAAGAATCAAAGTGCTCGCCTTCGTTCCAGACCATCTGTAACTACCGTCTTCCTGAACCTGAAGAAGGTCAGGATGGTTCTGTTAAAGTCTTCCAAAAGCGAATTTGCGAAGATTACAACTGAAGGGATGGAAAATGAGTAGAATAGTTTGCAATCAGTTACAACGGATGCACAGAACTGTTGATCTAAGGCCCAAAAAATGACTTAGCTCGTTAGTAGTAAGGAGAAAAGGACACCACGAAAAATAACGCTTTTTCAGCACAACGCCTCTCACCAGCAACCATTCCATTCGAACGTTGTTCTGGTATTGTCGTTGAACACGCTGAGATTGACGCGAATGCTTCGATTCATTTCGTCTCTAAAGACCAAGAAGAAGTCGTCAATGAACTGGTAAATATCTCATTTCTTTCAGAATATCGAGATTCGACGCAAACTTACTGGTTTTCAGAAAGATTTCCGTTCTCGGGCGAAGAGTTTGGTGATTTCTCTCCGGTGTTCAATGCAAAGGAAAGAGTTTGCTTCACTGATGCAGAGCGCAGGTGAAGACTTTCAGTATATGGGAGGTAAACGTGAGAGAAAATTCCCACTTGTTTCAGCGAAACGTCTGAAGTTGGCCGCATCCATACGGAGCATTCGTCGATAGACTGTCGTTCAATGGAGTTGAACTGCGATGTGCAGATTTGCTATCCAAGACTACGAGAATTCAATTCGGCCACTTTTTGCGCGTTCTCAACAAGGAAATGAAGACAAAACCTCGTGACGAGTGCGGAAATACTGTGAGCATCAGGTTGGTGGTGTTTCAGTCACATCTAAGGGAGTTGATTTAGCCCAATTACGTAGTCCGCGACGTTACCTGTTCTGAGGCAGATGACGTGTAACTAACGTCAAATAACATGTTGATGACGTGTTTCGTGACGTCCTTGACATAACTGGAATACAGGTTCCCTTATCAACGCATTAGGTGCACGTCATCCTATACCCCTGAAAGGCAAACCGCACACCCACCTCCATGGATCTTAGCCCTTGCCGTATGGGGGAAATGGGTGGTCCGCAGCTGCTA